AACCATAATTTTTAAAATAGTTTCCTATTTTTTCTTGTAGATTAATATACAAAAAAATGGTATTATTCATATTAATAGTGAGATGACAAAATGAAATAATTTATAAACTATAGTTATCTACATAAAAGTTATAATTAAAAAAACTGTAAGAATAATAATAATAATAATAATAATAATAATAATAATAATAATAATAATAATAATAATAATAATAATAATAATAATAATAATAATAATATATTTTTTTAGAGTGATTTGTCAGAAAGTAGAAAGAATTTGAAGAAAATAAATATAGTTGGAAGAAATTAGAAGAAAATGGAAAAAATAAGAAAAACTGGAAGAAATTGGAAAAAACTGGAATGAACTGGAAGAAACTGGAAAAAACTGGAAGAAACTGGAAAAAACTGGAAGAACTGGAAGAAACTGGAAGAAACTGGAAAAAACTGGAAAGAACTGGAAAGAACTGGAAAAAACTGGAAGTTAAGAGTTCAAGTCCAAAAGAACAGGCCCTTCATATGATTTTTTTATTAACTACTCCTTTGGTCCTTAAAATCTTTCCTATTTTGATTTTTTTGGCCAAACAGTGACACATTTTGACTATAAGTTGTGAGAAAAGTATACTTAATTTTAATGTAAATTGAATATAATTGGGTCTACTTTAGAATATAATTTTGATATTTCAAAGTTTTATATCATCTATTTATTTAGATTATATTTAATTTGTGATCAAAGAGTGTCATTGTTTGACTAAAAAAACAAAATAGGAAAGGTTTTTGGAACGGAGGGAGTATAATTTTTTCATTCATTTATTTTGTTATAATACTATAACGTTAATTGTCATTTAAATATAATTAATATATATACTTTAATTTATTAGGTGGCCTTTAGGGCCATTTTTTCTGTTCGGCCCATGCCATTGAATTCTCGGTACCTGCCATGGGCAAAAGCCTGTGTAGCACCTAAAATCTGAGCGGGAAGAGGATTGCGTAGCCGCAGCAGGGCCATACCTGAGAATGACGGAATCAATACCATTCAAGAACCTCCATAACAGAGAATACCATGGCCACAAGAAGAAGGTACTGAACTGATTGTAAAATTTTCACTGTCATTTACAAATATTCATCTTTCGGAAAAACCCTTAACTGTCCGCTTTCTTTTTCTCCTGAATTTTGCGAACCCAATTTGTTTGTAAGGCTGAATGAACTGTTTTTTTTCCTTTTTTTTAATGAAATACAAAAGGTTCATTCTGTAGCGTGGAATTGCATTGGCACTAAACTAGCTTCAGGATCGGTTGATCAAACTGCTCGTATTTGGCATATTGATCCCCATGGTCATGTAAGCTTATTCATTTTAGTTAACTTCAAAAATGTCTCTGCCTGCTTCTTTGTAGCTTAGGAGAATCTCTCTGCTTATTTCTTTTTACCTTAAGTGAATCTCTCTGCATGTTTCTTTGTACCTTAGGAGAATCTCTCTGCTTGTTTAGTGTCTAATATAATGTTTTTTTAGTCGAGTTAAAAATTTTCATTAAATGAACAAAAGATGTGTACTCTTGAGTCTTGACACTTTTTTTAATCTCTTCGATCTTCCTGAAAGTGTTTTGATATTTCAATACTCCACTTTTTTGTTGGAGCATGAACCTGAAGAAAAAAGACATGCCAACATGACAAAACTGGTTCTGCCAAAGCCTTCCGACCCCAACTTTCCATATCCTTGTATCAAAGGCTTCGTTGGATTATATCAGCAGGTACTCACGTGGTAGATTTGAAACATGACCCAAAAGATCTCTTATCTCTCAGTTTCATCTAGTGATGTGAGCTCCACCCAAGGGGTTGCTCAATAGTCAATACCACGGCTTACCTCCTCCCCGCAAGACTTTGAGTAGAAGGGCGCCCACCTGGACAATTTCATCATTTGGAACATGGTTCTCTCTTACTTTCTCTTTAATAGTTACTGTTCTCATCCCGAGTCATTTTTAATTGCTAACGGTCTTTCCCTTTTTCTTAACTCCTAAACTTAATTCACATCTATTTTAACATACATATCTCTCTACTATCCAAGTAGGAGTAAGGTCTGCGTACACACACCCTCCACAACCCTACTTTAGTAGAATTCTATTGGGTTGTTGTTGCATAACTTGTATCGCAACCACCACCTTTTTTAATATTTCAGCATTTTGATTCAGATAGTAATATAGTATCACATGTCTAATGGTGGTGGTTCTATATAATATGTTTTTTGGTCTTAAATGATCTAATCATCACTTTAATTTTTGATCAGTACGTATTCTTGTTTTGAAACTAGACCAAACATACTGCAAATCAGAAACATTAATACTGGACTAGACACTAGGCTGTTTCACTCACCAGACTAGGTGATATATTTAAAACAAAGATATTGAAATTCTAAGCATTGAGACCCGACTAAACAAAAGACTGAGACAAAATTATACTCGATCAAAGGAATTTTTGATATATGTTCATAATAAATTAGATCAGAAATATTCAAAAGAGACCAGATCTTGAAATATTCCTATTAGAGCAGCGCCAACAAATTCTTAGACACCTCTAAAAATAAGTCTTGATGCTAGTGTTAACTCTTATTATTTCTCCCTATTTTAGTTAACATCAATTGTTTTGGTGTCTCTCTTCTTAGTTATTTGTATTATAGATCCTACATATTAGGAACACTGATAAATCTAACCCACCCAATCTCACCCACTTTGATGTTTATGTTTAATGGTGCTTAATTTTCTTCCTATACTTAGTTTCACTTTGAATTATCACACGCCATTACGATTCTAACTTTACAACAATCCCTTTTTGGATACATGAACAAACACCATATCATTTGCATACGAAATACATTATGTTATCTCACCTTGGCTAGGTGTGGTTTAACTAATTCATGAT